GATCCTTTGCGGCCGCCCAAGACTCTTCAGATGTTTGGATGGGAGCGCGCGGCGAAGATACAGGTAAGTTTAAACCTGCTTTAAAAAAAAACAAAAAAACTTTTCATGTTTTTGCATATATCTACTGCTTGCTGGCAGTAGATATATGCAAAAAATGCTGAGGGTTTAATAACCCTTTAAAGGCAAAAGCATTGTTGCTTAGGTAGCAGAATGTACAAGCTAATGTGGTGGATGGACATTAAACCTTGGGGTGAAGGTTATCTGGTCCAACTGCTTTATTTGCATTGAGCATTTTAAGTCTATGTTCTATTGCGCTTTCCGTCAACCGTTGTGGTATATTATCGGTTGAACTATGTGTTTTATCACGTACGTCGAACCCGTTTCCCTCCTGAGTGTATACTGAGGAGAAAAAATTGTTCAGCGCCTCGGCCCTCTCCTTGTCACTTGTGAGTAACTTCCCGTTTCCGTCCTTTATTGGGCCTATCTGCTCCTTTCTTACCTTTTTACTGTTAATATATTGGTAGATATATGCCGTCCCTTCCATCTTATATTTAATAAATGCCATTCTCTTTGCCTTAACATGTAGTTTTACAGTTTTATTTAGCCATATCGGTTTAGTCTTTGATCTTTTGTTTTTGTTACCCAATGGTATACACTTTGAAATGGCAATATGTAATGTGACCCCATCTAGTAATCTGTCAATTCGTTCCACAATGTGTCGAACACGAGCCACAGGTAGGCAGCACACTGTTCGACACTCACGGTTCCGATGACAGATTACCCTGTCAGTCCGCCTGATGATGGAGTCTCCCACCACCAGGATCTGCCTCTCCTGACCCTCCATCTGGCTCCCCTCCTCGCTGGAGCAGTCACTCCCCCTCCGGATAGAGGATGGGTCCTGCTCCAGCAGAGGCCCCCCTGAACTAGTATCCCCAACATCATGCAACTTAGCAAACTTATTGGGGTGAACCAGATCAGGGCTGACATCTCTAGCAAAGAGATGTCTGTGGCTGTGAGAATCTTGCAAAGCCTCATGGGATTCGTAGTTCCACCACAGCTGGAGGGCTGCAGTTTGGCCATCCCTGCACTAACCCTTCCAATGCAATCTCATTAACTGCATAGTTGGTGAACTACCTTTATTATCGGGATCACCGGTGGATATCTGGACAAAGTCCTATTCATTCCTATATGAGCTGTAGCGGATCTAGCAATTGGATCGAATGATCTTAACCAAATACATTTATATTATCCCCGAAGGTGGACATTTTTTGTAATCCTACAGGAATGAGTGGATGTTATGAATGATTTGACAACATTGTCAATTTTTTAAGGGTTTTGGGATGTGGTGCAATATACTTGCGTGCAATTTTTGTGATAATAAATTAATTTTTGAATTTCCTATATATGGTCTGAAGTAACTCCTTTGTTGGTCGGCACACTCCTTTAGGTGCGGACCTCTCCTTGTGTTTTATACTATGGTTTGAGGCCGTGCGTGGTGCTGCACAGCCTTTGAAAGTAAACTCTCTGGACCGAGCGCCTCTTCCTGCTGCACAGCCCCATTGATTTATATAGATGGGCCAAACTCATGCCAGCCTCCAGCCATGCAGGAGAGTACAGCACATCCACAGAAATAAATAGTGTGACATGTACGCATGCACAGTAGGAAGAGAAGCTGTCCAGGATGTTTTCTTTGCAAAGGATTTGAGGAGCCAGGCAGGGCTATAAAGTGAAGATTGCTGAAACTAGGAGTAAGGTAAATATTTTATCAGGTGAGGGGGTACTTAAAGTACAACGTAATTTATAAAGTAGATTCAGCTTTTCTGCCTAAAGTAGTGTCACAATTTCATTATGATGAATGATTCTTTATTCTGTCAAGGTGCAGGTGACAACAAAAAAAGCCAAAAAACCTTTTGTCTTGTTTGTGGGACAAAAGAAGGGCCCCAAGCCTCAAAATGGACTTTTGCAAGGTCAAGTTATTAGTCACGTTAGATAATTAATTAGACTATTATATAATAAAGCTAGTTTATGGTGCTGAGGTTCGCCAAAGGTTTAGGATGGTTGTGAAGGGATCCACACACAGAAGGAAAAAAACAGAGGGGGGGTTATCAAAACTGGAGCAGACAGAATCTGGAGCGTTTGCCCATGGCAACAAATCAGCATCTCTCTTCAGTTTGTTCAGTTAAGATTTGAAAATGAGACAGAGAAGCTGATTGGTTGCAGTGCAAATCTGCTCCAGATTTGATAAATTCCCCCCTTAGTCTCTCGAAAATAATATAAGGCATTATATCTTTCAGGATAAAAAAAATAAATATATTATTATGGCTGGTATGATGACCCCCTGGCTTAAAATGCATTCTTAAAGTAAATCCTCCCTTCCTGTCCAAAGTACTGTCACACTTTTCATTTCCAGCACACCTCAAGACATACACTGGCCAGTAAGCCATTCAGATACACATGCTACCTGGAGTTCTCAATTCAATTCACTGTATATATTAACTGCCTGTTTCAACTGCTTTGCAATATAAAATATATTTTAAGAATGGGATAAGTAGATGTTGACTGCCTGTTTTTACGGTTTTGTAGTTCTAAATCAATTACACATTTGAAGACTAGATTATGTAAAGATAATCATTTAGTTGTTTTAGGGTGTTGGGGCTCCCCAAAGATTTAGGGGAATGGAGGACCAGAGTTATGAGACAAGGCTTCTGACCTTAAACATGTTTACGCTGGAATTAAGGAGATTAAGGGGGGATATGATTTTCATGTGCAAGATGTTCAATGGTGACAGCAACATTGGCAACAAACTGTTTGAGATTAACTCCATTACAAAGACTAGAGACCACCACCTAAAGTTGGTGGAGAAAAAATTCCAGCACAATGGGCGTAGAGAGTTCTTTATAGTAAGAGCGGTTAAGGTCTGGAACTCACTGCCATCGGCAGTGATTTCAGCCAACAGTGTAGATTTGTTCAAGAAACGTTTGGACAATTTCTTGAGGGACCGCAATATCCAGGGATACCAGTAAACCCTAAGAATGAGATGATGCGTGGACCTATATAGGTTGGACTTGATGGACGTATGTCTTTATTCAACCCCAAATACTATGTAAGATGGCTATAAAGTAAGCTACACAGAAGTAAAAGCAGAGTCAATTTAAACTAATACGAGGCATTAGTTCTTTCAGTACAAAAAAAAAGATCTTGTGGCTGTTATAAAGACCCTCTGGCATGAGTACATTTGGAGTCACTGTCTCTACCCTCCTCGCTGACTTTTAAAGTGACATTAAAGGCTATTTTTTCACCCTCCCACCTATGTTAGTGTAGGGACTTACCTTAAATCATGCCTCTTAATCCGATCATCATCTTCTTTAGTGTAGTTTTCAGATGTCCCTCCAGCGCTGGTGCGGGTCTCCGATCCAGCGTTGACTCCTCTGTCCTCCTCTTCTCTCATGTCCCACGGAGTCTGTGCGGGTGCATGCTGCTCCATATACAGTACTTACCTTGTGTCTCTGCTTGTCTCCCGGCCAAAAATCTGATCTGCGCATGCGCCCGCCCCAAGATCCTTTGCGGCCACCCGAGAAATTTTCAGATGTTCGGACGGGAGCGCGTGGCGGAGACACAGGTAAGTATTAACCCTTTGAATTTGCTTATCATTCAGCATATATCTACTGCTTGCTAGTAGATATATGCAAAAACATGCGAGGGTTTAATAACCCTTTAAGTATGGCTAACTATATCATGTCTGGTATTCAAATCTACACTGCATTGTGGAATGCAAGGAGTAGTGTGCATGTTTATCCCATGTGCAATTTATTATTTCCACAATGCACAATCTCCGATGCATCAGGCAGCAGGTAGGAACAGGCACTTTCTTGAGACTGCTATATAGGGACTATAATACTTGGAATAGGCTTAAAGCTTGACCTGAAGAGAATGCAGGTTTTGTTTCAAATACAATAGATATAAACATATAAGGCCTGTCGCAAGGATTCATGTTGCTCCTGTCTAATAAAAAAAAACAACCAAAGGACAATAACACACAATCATAAACATTCCATGTGCACACATGTCACACAAAAACATGCAATCCCTTATATAAAGAGTAACCAATGTGCACAAATGTATCTGACACACACAGATCACTTCTATCATTGCATACATATAACAACTATTATATACACATTTATTATCTCTCACTAGTAAGAGCAGTAAAAAAACATAATTTATCCCTCCGGTTGCAAATTTTTGTGGTTGTTAGCTTTGTCTCACAAAGAGGTGCAAATTTTCTTTATAACGCCAGAATGTCATTGTCTTACTCTATTTGGCTTCCTTAGGCATTTATTCACATGACAGTGAAGATAAAATTAAAGTGTATCTAAAAAAAACAAAAACTTAATATATTGCAGATCACCAGTTCTTTTGGTGGCTACAATATTTATTTTTGTTCAGATTTGTACCTCTTAATTTTTACCTGTTGTTCCTGTTAGTAACACACTTGTACTAGGGTGGTCAAATCTATAGAGGAGCAGTGTTGTTACCCTAGGACAGTAAGTGTGCTAGGACCACTCCCACTCTCCAAAACAGATGGAGAGGTGTTCTGTAGTTCACAGAGGTGAACTGGGGAGATCTGATAATGCTGCTCAGAATCTGCACGGAACATTACAAGCTCACAAGGATTTCTGTCAGGATCAACAGGTATTTTTGAGGGATAACTACAACCAAATCTCCTTGAATCCAGCAATGGTAAATAGCAGTCATTGTATGAACTTATATTTTATGTCACACTCCCAGACCTACAACAGACATTTCTGTCATTATACACAGAAGCACATCTCACATTATATATAGACGTTTGACAGCCATGCACATGCACAGCTCCCATTCCACACAAGGACACACATGCTTCTGGGCTGGGAGCAATTTCTGCCACCTACTTCCAGCCCCCAGCCCAGACCCAGCCAAAGCCGGTGACAGCAGTCTGACCAGCGGTCTTTTCCGCTTACTCTCACGTCCCCGTTGGTGATGTGAGGAGCAGGAAATGAAGAGTAAATAGGCTCCTTCCGGTAAATCTTTATAATGCTTCTGTCCTGGATATCTCTGAGAAAAGAAAAATAATGAGGTGTATCAGTGACAAAAATCAGGTAAAAAACAAGTGTTAAGGGGTGTATGTAATAACATACAAATACAGTATAAACTGTTTATCTTTGACTGAATCAGAGCCTCCATATCTTAAAGTAGAACCTTAGCCAGACTATAAATATTCAACTATTTACATATTATTAATAAACAGTAAAATGCTTTACAACAAGCCCTCACAAACATCAAGCGGAAGATCGCAGGAGGGGAGCGGAAGGATACAGGAGGGGTGCAGAGGGTTTCAGGAGGGTTGCAGAGGGTTTCAGCAGGGGTGCAGAAGGCCTCTGGAGGGTGCAGAAGGTCTCAGAATGGGTGCAGAGGGTGTCAGGAGGGTTATCAAAGGTACCAGGAGGGGAGCGGAGGGTCTCAGGAAGAGTGTTAAGGGTCTCAGGAGGGGAGCGGAAGGTCTAAGGAGGGGAGCACAGGGTCTCAGGAGGGGTGTGGAGGGTCTCAGGAGGGGTACGGAAGGTCTCAGGAGGGGTACGGAAAGTCTCAGGAGGGGTGCGGAAGGTCTCTGGAAGGCAGCGGAAGGTCTGAGTATGGGTGCAGACGGTGTCAGGAGGGGTACGGAAGGTCTCAGGAGGGGTGAGAGGGCGTCAGGAGGGGTGCAGAGGGTGTAAAGAGGGGTGCGGAAGGTTTCAGGAGGGGTATATAGGTTGAACTTGATGGACATGTGTCTTTTTTCAACCTGACTAACTATGTAACTATGTACAGAGGGTCTCAGTAGCGGTGTGGAAGGTCTCAGAATGGCTGCAGAGGGTCCCAGGAGGGGTGCAGAGGGTCTCAGGAGGGCTGTGGAAGGTCTCAGGAGGGGTACAGAGGGCGTCAGGAGGGGTGCAGTGGGTCACTGTAATTGCTCAGTCTTATACAATCACAAGAATGTCTAGTGATTGTATAAGACTGAGCAATCATTTATTTTATATGACAATACAAGGGTAGAGAGAGAGAGAAGGGGGAGAGAGAGAAGGGGGAGAGAGAGAAGGAGGGGAGAGAACGAACGAACACTACACACTTATCTTGCCTCCTCACACAGCGCCGCAGCCTGCTCAGCCCGGGACTCACAACATGCCCTGCCTCCCACCGACAGGACACTGCAGTTGCCTCATCGCTCCGAAGTCTCAGAGAGATCACTCTGCCCATCCACAGTGCAGCGGCGGGGCGAGCTAGAAGTTAGATAGGACAGAGGCAGCTCAGACGGGCACAGTTCCTTGTGGCCGCACAGCTTTTCCAAGCGGCCGCAATGAACTGTGCCCGTCTGAGTGCATACGGACGTAATGCATTCTGGCGGAGTCTCAGTGAAGCCGACAAGTTCTGAGAAAAATACTTCAATTTGTATTTTCTAATCACTGGATCGGCCCTCCAAAGGTTGCTAGGGGTTCCTTAAGCAATGAGCAGTGGGGGATTTGATTCCCATCCGACAGCCTGCATATATTCAGCTGGATCCACTCTTTTGATTACTTAGATAAGTTATGACTGTGAATAACAATCTTGTAAGCTGTCTGTAAGAGTATAATTCTTCCCACTGCCCCCCACCCCCACCCCATGTAACCACCAATGTAAGGGCATCCCATTGCCATGAATGTAAGGGGGGCACTACACTCTTGTACTGACCACCAAAGTAAATGGACCAGATTTTTACCTCTTTTCTAGCCATTATTTGCTTTGCTTCTGCTTTTGGTGTCATATATGTTAGGTATGCAACATTCCTTATTCTTTATTACATTTACAACTTACTGATCATGCTAATGTACAGAGAGTTGTAGATAAAACAATTTTCAGCAAGGGTTCACCTCTAGGGGCACCTCTAAGGAAAAAGATTGAGAAATGCTGCACTATATTGTTTTGTTCCCCTTCTGCCACTAGTGACTGTGCAGCCTGCTGGCCTTCTGATCTTTGATATAAATACAAATCATGTGCACAGGTACAGGGGAAGAGCAGAATGCAGAGCCTCACTGGATCTTTTGTGGTTCTTTGAGTGGTTGTTTTAAAGCTTGTTAATAATTTGTGAATAGTTGAATGTTCATAGCCTGGTCACATCTCTATTTTAAAACTCAAACCTGTCACAAACATGGGTGACTTCAACAAAGTATTTGATTAAACATTGCTGAGTTTATTAGTGGTTATCTTTAACACAAACTGCATGTCAATCAGTAGATCCAGGAACATAGACAGCTTAATTTATATTAAATCCTCAACTTTTCCAGTAAATATCAAGTTTAACATACACTCTCTCTCACTTTTTAATCCTCCAAATTGGTCAGTGAGATTGCCCATCACATTAAAGTGACACCAAACTCAGGAGTTAAATCTTAAAAATGCATTCCAGTACCTTAACTAGTAACAAAAATGTAGCTGAATTCGGTATCACTCAGCTGTAGATCTTCAAATCATCTCTGAATTGATGCTAACACTATCCTTCCTACTGGACCGCTCCAAGCTCACTCCCATGATGGACTTCAATCTCAATACAAATTAGAAAACTAAACTTGAGATTGTAGTTCATCACGAGAGTGAGCTTGGCGTGGTCCAGAAGGAAGGACAGTGTTAGCATCAATTCAATTTAAGGGACCATGGGGAACAAAAGTAGCCACCCTCCAGAAGGAAGGACAGCGTCAGTGTTAAATCCATAATAATCATATAGGGAAATATGTATGTATGTAGACGTTAATGATGATTGATTTTCTATATTTTAATCTATCCAACTTTGGAAATGCAGTTTAACACTACTGATTTTGTAGTTACATATGGTAATCAATCTGTGAGCCTGTCAGGCAGACCCTAAGTATAGTTGGAATAGCTGTTAGGAATGTTCACAGAGAAGACTTGCCCTTTTAAAATGGGAGTCAGGACAATGAGAATGGAACTCCCTTATGCTAATGTGAATGACTTTTAAGGTAAATGTCTCAAAGGATATTTTAAAGTAAGAACATGGATATAAGGACGGGCGATAGTCCTCCAGACACTCACACACACACCGACACCCCCACATTGACTCTCAGAAGTCACAGGGACACCTGTTGAGGACTATTTTTTACTATTTACTATTTTTTAAATTTTTTACTTACAAACTAAAGACACGTTTCTTAAGCATCTTATAGGCTCATGCTGTAAGATATACCATATCTTGCAATCATCAAACATCCTATAGACTCATTCTGTAAGATACACCATATCTTGTAATCATTTGTAACTTTGAAATTAAACACATTTTTGAATTTTATGCAAGAACAGAAGCAATTTTGTCTTTTAAACTTCTTCTACCCTATGCTTCAAGATAAAAGAATATGACAAAAAATCATATTTCTACAGTCAGCATGTATTTGGAATTGATTTGAGGATTTACAGCTGAGTGATGTACAAATACAATACACGTTTGTTAATAGAGTACTATTAAGAGTACTTGAATACATTTTTAAAATGTAACTCCTGAGTTTAGTGTCACTTTAAAGGACCAACAAGGCTTGGTGCCAAGAGGACAATTGGCCAAGTTTGACTTTTAACGCTTTCCCTGCCACCGCCGTAGGGCATATGGTGGAACAAAACTGTTCCTGAAACGCCAGCTCAGTATGCCTTACGGCTAAAGCGACCATGAACTTATAGCAGAACTGTTCCCTGGACAGTCCCCTTTACATCAGTGATATTTACCAATCCTCTGTGCAGAGCAAACACTGGTCTGATCACTCTAGTGTTTGGAAATAACTGGGGACACATAGTACTATGTGTCCCCAGTTATGAATGAACAGGATGTGATTTACATCACTTCCTGCTCATTCATGAATTTCTCAATGGGGAGAAGCACTCACTACAGAGGCTTTTCCCCATTCAGAAACTGATGATAGTAAATATTTTACTTTCAACAGTTTCTGGATGAATGGGAAGTGCTAAGGCTGCAGAAAAATAAATCGAGGACTCGGTGTCCTTAATTTCTTTTTCTATTTCAAAAGTGAAATGTCAGGGGTCTGTTTAGACCCCAGACATTTCACCGTAGCTCCCCAACAGTAAAAAAAACAAAATAAATTATTAAAAAATAAATAAATATAAAATGTGTAAAAATAAAATAAAAATAAAATAAAAATTAATTAAAAAAAGCACAACCCTCCCCCCCACACACATAACATACATGTGCACCATACTGTGGTGTATGCCATGCACATGCACTGCAGTGTGTTGTTAGAACGCATCGCAGTTCATGATTTAAAAAAACATTCTTAAAATTTAAAAAAAACACATTCATTTAACTGTGGCAGCGCATGGCAAAGCTTTGTGACGCATTGCCATGCATTGTGATACCTTGTGTTGCAATTAAATGTATGCCTGTATAATTTTATCACAACACCAACACAACGCAAAAATATGTAACATAAGTCGCGTATGTACAGTTTTGCGTTCATTCATTTTTTTACCTTTTCGCAAAAAGGCACAATTTAAAATTTGCAAATATTTGTTATTTATTAACTCAATACAGTTTTATCTTCAGAATTTAGTCAGAAAATAATTTTTCTTTGTGCACTGATACTGATTTTAGTGTGCTTTATCAATTGAACTGTGTATTTTTATCGGTTTAATATGAATTTGAGAAACATTTGCGCAATTATCGCAGGGCCTACAAATTTAGTAGCACCATCTTTTTATTTTAACGGCCTGTGCTTTCAGAAAATATATGGTTTGGGTTTTTTTTTTAAACGCTAGCAAAGCAGTAATTGAAAATCAAATCAATGGGAAAAAATGCAAAAATGGTGTGGTCAGCAGAGGTGCAAAATGTTCTGGAGGGCTTGGCAGCGAAAGGGTTAGTCAAGATGTGTTTATAATGCCAGCTGCCTATATTGCTAGATGTACAAATGTTTTGACGTGATTTTTACTGAATGTAATATCTGTTCAAATATATTTTGAAAATATGACAGCTTTACTTTAACAATTAAAGGAAAAGCCTAGTATTCTGGGCATCCTTCCCTTTAACAATCTGTACATTTTCTTTTTAAGAAGCCGTTCCAAAAATTGCCTTAGCTAAGCAGTAATTTGTGGCAACAAGACACTGTTTTCATCTGCTTAGTATGGTCAAAGATGGTTTACTGGTTTCTTTATTAAACAAAGAACAATTTCTATAGCACCACACTACAGACCAACAAAGACCTACCCTGTGTGCAAGACAAAGCTTAAGCTGGCCATATACTTGCAAATTTTGGTGACTGAATGACAAAAAGCATTTTGGCTACCTCATCCAAGCTAAATAGCCAGGCTACTGTATTCTGACAGCTGACACCAGTATCTGTCATAAAAAAAACCCAAAAAAGGGAAAGAGGGAAGCGCCACTAACCGGGAAGGAGTTAAGGAGGGCCGGGCCGTGGAGCTTTCAGGAAATCAATAGGTAATCGATTACCTATTGATTTCCTGAAACCTATGCCGCACCCTCCCATCTCAATTTATGTACAGATTTTCCCAAACTTTTCTCGCACACTTCCTTTTTCACATTATCCACTCCACCTTTCCCCCCCCAATAAGTTTGTGTTTCCCTTTTTGCCTTGCTTTCATGCCCCAATCATCAATCCTTTTCCCCTTCCCCTTTTTGTAAAAGGTCTTTTTGCACCAAATCATTTCCCGCCAGGCCCTCCTTAACTCCTTCCCGGTTAGTGGCGCTTCCCTCTTTCCCTTTTTTTGTTGTTTTTTATTACATATGTGGGACACCCCGGTCCGTACTATCAGGAAGCCGCACAAAAGCATCACCCCTCACCCATAATTTTATACACACTTGTGTGTGGATTCTCCCTTTGGAGAGCTGGTCTTCTGGACTGCCCTTACAATTTTTCACCAGTATCTGTCAAAATACCCAAACAGAGACTTCAGCTGACTGGCTGCAGTCACTGTTTGGCCAACAATTTTCAGCCCAGCGCCTTCGGGAAAAGTTCTTTTTTTTTTTTTTACTTTTGTCAAAGGAGCCGCTCTGAAAATTGGAGTTAAAGTGTTGTTGACAGGGGTATTGCAGGAAATTCTAGCAGTGTATGGCCAGCTTTAGTTTGGCGACATCACCATCTGCTCTTGAATCAGACACAGTTGACATGCACAAAATACAGTCATCCAGTTCTTCTCAACCCTTGTGTGGCTGTATCAGGTTCTGCTATCAACACCTCACCTAACACATGTTGGTTTCTTTTTTTTACCATGGTAATCATATTTATCTATTATGCAAGTTTCTCTACAAATACAATTCATCTATATATTTTTTTTTTTTTTGCCTTATCATCTTCTGGCTTCTGATGCAATTCTAAGGGGTTGATTTACTAACCTTATAAACACACCACGAACATGTATACACCTCTGTAGTGTGTTCCCTCCCAGCATGATCTATGGGTGGAATCTAAACACCTTTGTAGTGTGTACACACCCAGCAGGTGTGTTGTGCAAAGCCCTGCATGGATTTGCAAGGTGATGTTGTGTAAATTAGCTCTATGTTGTGTTGCTTGCGTCGATGAATGCAGGAATGTAAATGCATGAGCTAACCATTTTTGTCTAAACTGTGAAGCAGCATTATATATGCATCATGTGCATGATTTTTCCATATATGGCATTAGTGGAAAAATGCTTTTAGAGACTTTTTGGTTGATAAATACGTTTTGCTGTGTGAAAATCACACGCACCTAGTGCGTGCGTGTGTTTAGGTTAGTAAATCACCCCCTAAATGTCAACAACTGTCTTTACTTTTGTTTAATGTTTGATATTCACTTATTTGATCTTACAGTACACCTTTTAGACTGACAGTGGACTCAACACAGTTTCTACTGTTCCCTTCTTGAACCACAGTCAGGCTGGCAAACAGACTTTACACAATCCTTACCTGACATCCTCCAGTTCATAGAAGACATTGCGGGACTCGTCTTTGATAAGTATGGCGGTGTTGTGAGATTTCAGCATTCCCATAGTCAGTTTTTGTTGAAACATATGCACAATAAGAGCATGTAAAGTGTCCATGCTGGTGATCTCATGTGTGATGTGCACACGTCTTGTCTCATCGCCATACTGCAGGAACAAGACACCTGAAAGAAGAGGAATCTCATCTTTATTGCATCAAGGAAAACAGAAAACTAGTACGTGATGAACTCATGGTAAAGATAAGGAAAGGGTCTCTCCAATGTCCATAGCAACTTGTCAGTTTTCATATGTCTTTTCTCTGCTGGAGCTTACAAAATTAAAGCGTCAGTCTACCTAAAACTGATATTTTAGTTAACGGTCAAAGCTGGTTGGCTGCATTATCCCCTGGCTTCTTACACATATTGGATACTGCAGCAGCATTATCTCACTGCCATAATTTCTGACTCCTTGGCGTTTTGGGTGTTCCTTCCCACCTGTGAGGTTCCAGCACCTGCTGTCGGAAACATAAAATCATTTAATAATCCAAGAATTAGAGTGGGGATCCCTCATAATATACAGTCCCACAAAATATATAAGAAGACTGCAGGTGGTTTAACTCACAAGCACCTATCAAAAACTGAAATATCAGGTTGAACTGAACCTTTTTAAAATGATTATAGTTTCTTTTAACGCTAAAGATATAAATATGAGTATCTTAATGTACATAAATCTGTACCTTTGTGTTAAAGTAGGACTTTGTCCTCTCATTAGAAAATAAGATTTAATGCACTCACTATAAAATTCAGTTTGCATTCATTGAAGGACACAGCAGTCATCCATACATAAACAATAAACAAAAATGAACAACTGGTCACAGAAAGAACAACCAGGGGGGCAGGAGCTGTGTCCTTTAATGAACACAAAGAAAAGGGTTTTACGGGGAGTGCAAAATATCCTATTTTTTCTTCATTCTTGCTGGAAAACAGCAGAGAGCCGTTAGATCTTGATGAAACGGATGCCCCAAAGCAGTGTCTACCGAGGGGTGGGAGAACATAACAAAAAAACTCCATCTCAGGCAAGTACAACAAAAAAAAAAAACTAGCATCAACGGATGGCACAATGTCAACTTTGTCTGATGGCAAAAAGCCCACAGCACAATCGCCGCTCTAGTGGAATGGGTGGGTGATAGGAAAAGGAGGTGTCTGGTGTTTGATGACGTATGCCTGAACAATAGTCTGCCTAATACACCCCACTCCCCCCAAAAAAGAGAATCTGTCTTACAAAACAAAGCCATGGCAGAAAGGTAAACCCACACAACTCTAACTACATCCAGAGGTAATATCTTTTTAAGCATTTTGATGGATCTCAACTGTGGAAACACTGTGGTATGATTAGCAAATCGGAGTTACTTGGAGGAGGAAGGCCAAGTAACATAACACATGTTGAATAATCTTCAAATGATAGTGACATGCGTTACCTTATGCAGGTTTGGTATAATAGACTCTCATTAATTTATACAGATCTAGCGCAGTACTCTCTCAATGTCCTGTGTATTTCATACTGCTATCTTGCAATAGTCACTCAGGGTTTGTATTACTTCATACATATACAGTATATTGCAGAAGTCTCTCAATGATCTGTATTACATCATACACGTATAATGCAAAGTCTCCTAATGGCCTGTATTACTTCATACAGATATGATGCAGCAGTCCCTCTGTGTTAAACAGTGATATGATTACAGAATTTACAATGAAGGTTCACAAGTGAAAATCTTATCAATAGAAGAATGTGTCATACACACATCTATATAAATTGTATTTGCGGTTGTGTTGAACCTCACTGGAAGCGTGATAAGTTCTTTGGAATGTTGATCTCTGCAGGATTCATGGAGTGTGCTGTGTGCAGGCTGGGTTATGGCTGCAAGGGTGGAAATGAAGGCTCATACATTGAAATGAAGAAGCAAGTCTGATTTTGTAAAGCTGATAATGCAGAGTGCACACACAGGGCTGCATCAGCAGGTTGAAACTTTGCAGGGATGATACTGCAGGGGTGCACAAAGAAATGCAGCAGCAGGTTTGAATAATGCAGACCTCACATAGGGTATGATTGCATAATGGATCACCCAGAGAGCTTACACTGGGAATTGCTTGAAGAGATGAGAGTGCTGAGAACACACACAAGTCAGCAGCAGTGGATTAGATCGTGCTGAGTCTCACAGGAATATTGGCCTATCACAGATGAGGAGTGACACAAGGTGAAACTCCATGGGTGCTGATTCGTTCTCAAGGAGGAAAGGAGAGAGGCAGTTGTGTGACACAGGGATCCAGCATCTTACAAATTACACAGCTGTTTGAACCTCACGGCTTAAAGAAGAAGAGATCTGGTGACGCTGCGGAACCTGATTAGTTGAGGGGTGGAGCTCTACTTTGATCCTGGAAGGTAAGTATATTACATCAGGCAGTGAAGAGCAAATTCCTTATATTGAACTGGCCAGGAGCAGAAGGTGAGAAGAACAATGTCCTCATTGAGATGAAACGCAGACACCACCTTCAGTAAAAATAAAAGCCTTGGATGAAGAAGTACCCTGTCCTTATGTACGACCAAAAAGGGAGGCTTGCAAGACCAGGCTGCCAATTCTGAAACCCTCTAGACCAGGGGTAGCCAAGGTGACAGGCACCCAAAAACATTTTTTGCTAAAGCGTCAGCAAGGCAAATTCCTGAATATTCTCTAAAGATGGTTTATTCAGAACAGACAGTGCCAAGTTAAGGTCACATGGTCAGAAGTTAAGCTCACATCAGAAGCCTGACCAGAGGAGTTACATACGAACCACCATGAATAAAAAAGCAAATTAGACAATGGGAGGCTAGGGAACACTGAAAGAAAATCACTACAGCTGACACCAAACCCTTGATAGTCCTCAAACCCAGCTTTTGGTCCACAACCCATTGAAGAAAAGTCAAAATCTATGCTACCAAGAACCTGCAGAGACTAACAGCATTAGATATAAACTTTCCAGGTACTATTATAAATCTTCCTGGACATCAAATCCTAAGCCTTAAGCATCATAGGGGTCACCGAGTCTGACAGCCCCCTGTGCTTCAACACCTGGCTTTCAACAGCTAAGCCATTAAAGACTGTTGCTGTAAGTTACTGTAAAGCAGGATGCAATATCGGACCCTGAAACAGAAGGTCTGGGTGAGGCGGGAGACGCCAAAGAATGTCTGTAGCTATATGACCTAGGTACACATATCAAGGATGATAAGGCCAATTCAAAGCCACAAAGATGACTGTAATCCTTCTGGCTTCTATCTGATGCAGAAGCTGAGGAAGAAGCTTTAGAAGAGGAAATGCATACATTAACCCCTTCGCGTCCACTGATGTACATAGTACGTCATTGGCAGTGGGCCGTTTAAACAGACTCGCTGCCAGGACGTATGGGTCCTTAAGGGGTGTTTAAACAAACTCGCTGCCTCGCTAAAGCATATTGGTCCCACTTCCCACTAGGGTGTGTGTCGCATCCACCCAGGGATCCTTTGTCCTGCCCACAAATCTGTTCACATTTAGGTTGGGAGAAGACACCAGGAGATCAACATCCAGTGCCCCCCACCTTCAGCAAATTTGAAGAAATCTGACATAATCACTCACTCGGATCTCCCTGTCCAGTGATAATGGAGACTTGTTCCATTTGGTCAGAATCTCCTGTTGATGAATCTGTGTGTAATATTGAGCATATGGAACCACTTTGAATGAGGAAACGATGAGGTCCAGAACTTGCTTGCAGGTGAAAATCAACTCCCATCTGAGGACAGACCACAAGACAAACATGGAATCACTTTGTCCAGTGGATGGAACAACTTGGCATAACTCATACCCAGAATCAGGCCCAGGTATTCTAGATGGAGAGACAGAGTCAGTGAGCACTACTTCCTGTTTTTAATTCCAACTGAATTTCTCCATAGTGTAGATGGTAATCTCTAGGCTGACTTCCAGGGTAGAGAGAGATTCCACCTGTAGATGATCGTGCAGGAAACCCACAATGGAGAGTCCACATTGTCTTAGCAAGGCAAAAGCTGGAATTGGAATTCTTCATCTTCCACTGCGATGTATGAAAACTCTTGATGAAGTAGACAAATTGGGACATACAAGTATGCATGCTTGATAACAATGATGATGCTTGGATGCCAGAAAATCCCCCTGGTGCAGTGAGGTGACCACCAATATGATGGACTCAATCTTGAATGTTTGGACCTTTACAAAGGTGTTCACAGTGACGTCACAAGGGGGGTGCGGTCCGCACGAGGTGACACCATTAGAGGTGGTGACACCAAAAAGGCTGACAGTCATTTTGGTGTCACCCCCTCTGAAAAGTCGGGCACTCGGTCATAGACTGAGAGCTCGACGGCTGCACATGAGAGGAGGAGACCCAGCGACACACCTTAAAGGAGAACTATGGGGTCAGTGTTTTTCCCCATAGTTCTCCTTAGGGTAACGGGAGGACACAAACTAGCGTCCTCCCATTACCCTAAGCTCAGTATACCGCAAGCTACAGCTCGCGGTATACTGAGACGCCGCAGCCGGAGCGGATCCCGACGTAGATGACGGGATCCGCCCAGCTGCGTGAGTGACAGCTGGCTCTGCCTATCTAGAGGCAGAGCCAGCTGTACCCGCCCCCTCCCCCGTCCGTTCCGCCAGTCAGCGCTGGCAGATCGGAGCGGGGAGAGGGGAATCCAGCCCCTCCCCCTGTCACGGCAGAGAGCCGTGACAGGATCGAGAGGTGAGCGAACCCGGTATGTGTTCGCTCACCTCCTGATCTACTGAGCCGACCTGTGACAGTCTCATTGTCACAGGTCGGCTAGAACTATGAGGTGAGTGAAAAGCACTCACCTCATAGTTCTCCTTTAACCCGCCAGATGAACCCCCCCTGGTGAAAGAACCACTCTGGTGGATAAGGATGAAATTATATTTTGTAGCCCAAGTCTATCAGTTGGCGGGAGAGCGCTTCTTGACCAACTTGCGGACAAGTGCTTGCTCCATACAAGATACAAATCCTTTCATGACAGTGTTAATAGCATCCATGGAAACAGGTTTTTCTGGGGTCCCCAAAGCCTCTAACAGAGAACCAGATGAGGGTAAGGAGGTCTCCTTATCCACAGCAAGCTTACACAAAGAAAACATCTGATACTGAAATTGCCTGAGTAACCCCATAAACATTACACAGCATTATAGGGTCAGTCCTCAGCAGCCCTAAAATAGTGGAGTGTCCAGCCCCCCTTGGGGGACACTGACAGACCAGCCAGTTGGTTAAATGAGCACTTTTGCAAGTGGCACTGTAACCCAACAGGCAAGATGTAAAGGCTTTCTGATGTGTCCTTCAATGAATGGAGGAAACAAAAATATACTGCAGCACTTACAGTTTTCTGTTAGAGCCCCTGCAAAGTCCTACAAATACCTGTTGAGCTTGTCAGTGGGATCCAGCTAATGCAGTTTGTTTTGATAGAGTGGCAGCAAAGTTGCACAGCTCCTGAATTCAGAGAAAATTTGCAAACCTAGGCTGTGCCTGCTTGCACTACAGTGGGGGAAGTAATATTTGAAAGGGGATGGCTATCAGCATTGTCACTGTTGATTCACAAGCCAGTAGCTTGTTAATCACCACATGACCATACCCAGTCCTGCCTACTGCTTTCTGGATTGGCAGCACTGCCTCTGTTGCTGAAATCCTCTTATTGTGAGCTGCAGTGTTTGGGATGGGGAGCTCGTGAGACACAAAGAAAGAGAAGGGTAAGGGGAGGTAAAATAAGCTTTTTGCTTACTTTATGAGGATTGTGCAGCAGATAATCACAGAATTTGGTATTTAAAAATAATGTATATTCTTTTCTAATTATGTATGTGCTAGGGTCACCCATATTGGCTCATTGCAGATTCCTACCTAATAGAGTCTTGTTAATTCTCTTATTTCACTGCCAGTATACTAGACATGGTCTTGCCAAAAACATGCTTTTTCTAATGATTTGAAACATACACATTGTTAAGTGGTAGCCAAAGACCATATCAAATGAATAGCTCGGCTTTAGGTCACATGACTAAGCCGTTTTTTTTACTCATTTCAAGAAATCCCAATGGAATACAGAAATAGATAAGCAGCCAGACACACATTGTACTGACAAACTCTACTTTCACTGTCTTAAATTCCCTTTCCTGTTACATCAGTAACAGCGTGTCCAAATATGACTGCGCAGTTCAATAGGCACCAGAGTTACACCCAAGAGTCTGATAAGTAATCAGCACTTAGCAACAGACTTGGTTTGACACACCTCCTCTCTTCCTCTGCAATATAAGGTTGTGTGACGTCACCTCTGTCGAGGGGTGTGGGTGTTGCTCCACAATACCAGTGTAAAATATTGGCACAGAACCACAACAAGCCACATATTCAGTAAGATAAATAGCTATTATAGGCTTTTGTGGCAAAAATGAATAACAAATCATAGTATGCAGGGAGACAGAACTATAAATAATTAAGAAAAGACGCGGGACTTCAATTAGGTTATAAACCAAGCTCATGACTGGATGGTATATTTTGTTTTCCTTCTTTTGTTTTAACAAACATCTCTATCTTTTGAAATGGTAGGATGCAAGATATGAAGATAACCAAAATAACATTTAGAGATATCCACTTATTTTCTAGGAGACAATTAGTATCTGCAATGAATGCTAGCCAACTGACAGACCTGGTGAACGCAGTTTAGTTTGGCTAGTGGACCGAGACAGTGGCAGACTTTGCCGAAAACGGTTCATCCTGTTGAACCCCAGTGGTAGTTCAGCTTCTGACATGGTTTCCAGGGATTCAGCTGAAGCAAAAGACAATTTAGCTGCTTGATCTGCAAGGCCAGGTTGGGAGCTCTGCGAGTGACGTGAGCTCCTAGTCTGAAAAAAAAAAAAGCAGACATGGTATATGTTATGACAAGTAACAAAGGTTGACAAGTAAACCAAATGTGACCTTTGACAGACCTCTTAATTCCATCCTATTCTACTTTATTTAACCTATTCTATTAGCTTTAACATATTAATATAATTTCAAAAGTAATTTTCATAATTTTTATAACTTTTTTGTATAAATATCCTGCTATTCAGATGATTGCTTAGACATTTCCTGTTATAGGGTGACAGTGTTCTCTAATTGTTTCCCAATTATGCTCCTGCTTTACCACAGTGGTGACTGATGAGCTATCAAACACACATTATTTTGGATTTTCATTCATTTTGTATCCTATTGACAGTGTTCCCCAAGGCAAATTCAGATGGTGAAACTACCGAACAAACAAAAAAAAACAGACGGGGGTTTTAACTGTACCATACTATTGAAATCTAATAAATAAAATGTGATATGTGAATTTTAATTGTACATTCCTAAATTCTAGTAATGCACCGATATCGATTTTTCAGTATCGAGTACCGATTTTCCGGTACTGAATACTGATACCGGAAGTCACATTAAGGAAGCCAGGCGGCATATAATGACCACCCAGCTTCCCGATTAGCTGGGAAGCCGTCTCCATGCTCCCTCGTCACCAGGTAATGACTCGCCACCTGGCTTCCTGATTAGCCAGCTTCCCGACCAATCAGGAAGCTGGGCGGTGAGTCATAACAAGGTGCCAGGCTTCCTGATTGGCCGGGAAGCTGGCTCCATGCTGGCTCCATGCTACCTCAGCACCATGTGACGAGGAAGCATAGAGCTGGCTTTTTGGCCAATCAGGAAGCCGGGGGGCGAGTAATGACTTGCCGCCCAGCTTCTTGATTGGCCAGCCTCCCGACCAATCAGGAAGCTAGGTGGCGAGCCATATGTAATGACGAGTCACCCGGATTCCTGATACCGGAAGTTCGGGATAGGCACTGGGAGCATTTGGGCGAGTACGAGTACTCGCCCAAATACTCAGTATCGGCACTGATACTAGTATCGGTATCAGTGCATCCCTAAATTCACATTTTTATAGCGTTTATATTTGAGAAGCCAGTGGATCACGATCTCCTTTCTTCCATTTTTGCTTCAGTGATGTAAGTTTATTTGATAGGGTAAATGGCAATTTAAAAAGTGGAGTAACAAAACCAAAAAAACAGAAATCAGCAAACATCCGCAAAATACTATGGAAATTAAGGAGTTAATAAACTACAATGGTAGCTTTCATTTATAAATAAGAGCAGAGCAAGACCCAATTTGTCAAACTGATAGCTCAGTAATGCAGATTACAGGGGGAAAATGCTGCTTTACCTGTGAAATCATCAGTGCTTTGAGACAGCAAGGTGCTGTGTTCTGTTTATTAGGAGATAATAGAGCTCCTGATACAGAGCAGGTGACTGTCACATTGACAGCACAACAATGTGCCACTGGTTACAATGGAAGAGTTGTGATGTCCCAGTGTAATCTGCAGGAATGCTCAGCCCTGAACAGTTGAGAACATACTTAAGTGATGCAGAGGCAGAAGCATATCCCACATCAGCAGGTGAGTAGATAAGGGGGGGTAGGGGTGTTCAAACCCGCCCCAGAGTGTCCTGGCAGTGGCGTAGCGAGGGGTGCCGAAGGGGGCACGTGCTCCCCGGCACCGTTGTTCAACACCGGTCTGAAGAACATCCAGAGACGGGCATGGAGCATGCCCGTCTAAAGGGGTACCGGGGATGTCCTGTTTGATAAAACATTGGTGATGGCTGGAGCAGTTCAATGTTTTTGACTGACGCCGATGTTTTATCAAACAGGACATCCCCGGCATCCCTTCAGACGTACATGTGCCTGCCTGGTCCTGGATGATCGGTACATGCCTCAGTGCGGGCTTTGCAGGAGGCAGGGTGTCCTTCCAGTGACCAGGATCAGAAGGCTGCACGGAGGCAGAGCTGGCAATCAGGTAGCAGGGGCTGGGGATGGCTTGTATTATCTGTGAGTATACTTCTGTTTTTAGTCCTAATTCCACTGTGTTGCAAAGTCCAGAGTCCAGTTCTTTCCCAAGTCCCGAGTCCAGTGCAACTCTAAGTCCCGAGTCCAGTGTGTTCCTAAGTCCCGAATCCAGTGCCTTCCTAAGTCCAGAGTCTGTACTAGAGGGCAGGCTCATAAAGAGAACCTGCCACCTCCGAATGCTATCACACAGGTGCTTGTTATCCCCTGTGTGATAGCAATAAAGTTAAGTGAAAAAATAATAAAAGAAATTAAAATGAAAAAAAATGATAAAAAGTTAAAAAAATAAAACGAAAACATTGTTAATAATAATAATCCGCAGAGCCCAACTTGAGACCCCACCAGGCCATCTCAGATCCCCACAGGCCACCTGAGACTCTGCAAAGCCCACCTGAAACTCAGCAGAACCCACCAGGCCACCTGAGACTCCGCACAGCCCACCTGAGTCCCCCACAGGCTACCTGAGAACACACAGCCCACCTGAAACTCTTCACAGTCCACCTGAGACCACCACAGCTCAACCTGAGACCCCACTTGAGACCTCCACAGCCCGCCTGAGACCCCCCACAGCCCACCTGAGACCCCCCACAGCCCACCTGAGATGCCCACAACCCACCTGAAACTCCCCACAGCCCACCCGAGACCCCCCACAGCCCACCTGAGACTCCCCACAGCCCATCTGAGACTCCCCACAGCCATCCTGAGACTCCCCACAGCCATTCTAGAGACTCTGCACAGCCCACCTGAGACTCTTTACAGCATTCCTGAGACTCCGCACAGCCATCCTGAAACTCCACACAGCCATCCTGAAACTCCACACAGCCATCCTGAGACCCTGCACAGCCCTCCTGAGACCCTGGAGACATCAAGCGACCACCCTGGAGCAACAGAGTATGTACCTTCATATTATTCTGCGTTGCTATATAATGTATTGCTGGGATTTGTAGTCCTCTATGGCTGGTGGTATTCTGCATTGCTGTATAATGTATTGCTATGTGGTGGGCCTCCATGGTGGATCAGTGTCTTTAGACCCGCTTTATTTGCTCCCTTCTTTTGGTGAATTGAAGGTGGATCAGGAGGGGAAAACATAGGCAAGGAAACAGTTGGTCTAGAGCATTGAACTATGGATTGATTTGTGGGGGGCGCTAATGAAAGACTTACACAAATAGAGCTTTCTTTTGGTGCTATTTGATCGCCGCTGGTTTTTATTAAAACATTATTTAATTTTTTTATATAAATAAAAAAAGACCAAAAATTGTGGGGAAATATTATATTTTCTACTTTTTGTTATACAAAATACCAAATAAAATCAAATTTCTTTCTAAAGTATGCCACAATTTATTCTGCTGAATGTTTTTGGTAAAAAAAATCCTAATAAGTGTATACTAAGTGGTTTGTGTGAATTGGTAGGTACCAAGACTTTTTAAAACTTGGTTTTTATCCATATGGTGTCAAACAACAAAATTGGTATTGCTCAGGGTAAAGGATTGCTTTAGGAATGATATGGCTGGTATATTTTTTTCAAACCTTGGTGTGTCTGCTAGATAAAGTCTTATCATTTGAGGAAGCTGAACACCCTTCAGGAAAAAAAAATATCTACGGCCCTGCACATCAGCTGCTCCCCTCACAGCACGGTATCTGAGAAGTGTGCTTTTTGTGCCTCTGCTTTGGCCTGGCACTCAATATTTTTCGTTATTTTTTAGAATACACACCTTTATCAGGGTGTGGAATCCTAATGTTTCTCTTTATCCTGCCAGGGGTGAGCAATCCTTTAACTGTACTTAACAGAACCAAACACAAAGGACAGAGCACCCCTTCCATGTAAAGAATCGTTTATTATATCAGAATACAAAAATCACATTATATTCAAAATTTCCAATACGGAAAGCTTGTACAGTGATAACAATAATGTCAAGAAAGGATCGCGTTTGCGGTACACACTATTAATATCGGAGGCTTGTGGTATACAGCATCCTTCTCTTAAGATCTGTGGTGGAACTGTATTTTGTAACGGAGACCCCCTGTGTGTCATAAGGTAAGTGAAAGTGACTGTTTTCTAGTCTGAGTTTTATGTTCTATGATTGGCCAATGATGAATTGTTAGGTCGCCAAAGTAACAACCATAGCCCTCTGATTGGCTGGTCTTCAAGTCTTACTTTGCATTAATTCACAGTTGGTTGTGGCTCTGAAGAAGGGGGTGTGCCTCAGAAACTCATCAGCCCGCAGCACACGCGACTGTTGCTGTCTGAAAGCTTGTGTATGAGACGGTGTCAGCGTGAGTTTAAATGAGACCGGGTAGACCGTGCATCTGAACATTGCGAGTATAGTGAGATATTTTTTATTCTCATATAATAAATAATTATTCACATGGAAGGGACGCTCTGTCCTTTGTGTTTGGTTATGTTTGAAGGATTCCCCGGTCTGTTTTTGAGGAGCAACATTTTCGTGTGAGGATCATTTTGCATTGTGAAGATCTTTGAGCTGTCATCAGCGCTGAGACAGTAGTTTATAGTGACTTAGTACTTAACAGAACTCACATAAGCGCCTTTTACTACAGCAGTAATGTGAGCCCAGGATACTTGACACACACCTACAGGGGGCAGGTTCAATGGCATCACAAAGGGGGTACAGCCCGCCCCCGGGTGACACCAAAATGACTGACAGTCATTTTGGTGTCCCCCCCCTCCGAAAACTTGACCGAGAGCCCGACAGTTTCGGGAGAGAGGAGGAGACCCGACGGCATATATTATGCCACTGGGTGACTGTCCCCTCCTCTCTCTGACAGCGTCCATCATCAAGATGGCTGCCGGCAGGTATTAATAAGATTGCCGGGTATGCGCAATTACGTCATCACGCACAACCATGGTGACGCATTGCGCATGCGCGCTGACGTCATGGATGGGTGCCACCCGGCAACCGCTCCGGGTAACAACCCGGCCTCGGGACGCCCCTGGGCAAGTTCTTGATGCCCTGGGCTCACAGAA